AGCAAATTATTTGTTAAGTAATTATTTTTGAGGAACTGTATAAGGAAAATATAAATCAGTAAAATATACTTGCTAACCATACTAATATAAAGGACTGAATAAACTTAATGAGTTAACAACTTATTTAAAGAGTTTTGCGTATACAGTCATATGGTGTCCTGTTGTGACCGCCCCATCAATATGTGATTGACCGCTGGTAAAAATAATTGAACGAGTTCCACGACTCGTTAAAACGAGTCATTATTATTAGTGATGGGAAATATCGAATAGAAACTATCAAACTATTCGATAGTTGTCCACTACTATTCGAACTATTTGATAGTCATTCAAAAAATATTCGATAGTTCAACATTAGTTTTTCAATAGTTTTTAAAACTATTCGATAGTTTATGCTAAAAATAAACTATTCGGTTGTATAAACACAATTTGAATAGTTATACGATAGTTTAAAATATTTGAAAATGCCCATCACTAATTTTTACTATTATTAATTGTATAATAATGTATTTATAAGTATTTATTAATTATCTTCTTATTATAATTAAGTATACTTAATACAAATTTTAGGTAAAACTAATCGAATATTTTTTAAAACCATTCGGTAGCCCGTTCGAATAGTTTTTAAAACTATTCGATAGTCTATTCGAATAGTTTATGCCAAAAATAAACTATTCGATAGTTTATGCTAAAAATAAACTATTCGGTTCTATAAAAACTATTCGAATAGTTATTCGATAGTTTAAAATATTCGAAAATGCCCATCACTAATTATTACTCATTCGCAATTAAACGCTCGCTCGAGTATCGTTGATACCAAATTGAACGGTATATTATCGTTTCGTTTCGTTTTTTTTTTTATTTTGTGTTCTTTTTGAACTACCATAAAAGGGTGTATATACCCTCATAATTTCGCAAACCAGTTCTTTACATATAAAGTGATACTCAAAACACACTAACTTTTGGTTAAGATTAATCATTGTTTTCTGTCATTCTGTTCCTGTTATTCGCAAGACATTCAATTTTGCCGCAAACCAGGTCACAGCCATCTGTGGATGTACAGGTCGCTTTTATTGTATTATTTTACATTACTATTAAATAATCTATTAATGTACCTATGTATATATTTCTAGTATAGTTAAGTTTTACTAACATTAATTTTAGTGATATGTTATGTTTGTATAATATTCTTATATAGAAATATCAATATATGAATACTCTTATCATCTTTTAATAATCTTCCATATTCTGTTGTCTACTTCTGACACTTGTAGTGTTATCCTTTAAAATTTTAGTTAAAGGAACACTCAAACAAAGAGCAAAACCTCAAAATTAATGAATTCATTTTAAATTGAAAAATCACCATTTCTATAATAATAACTAGAATCCATTGTAATTAGATTCGTTACACATATCTGTTTTAAAGAACACGCTATTTCAGCATAAGTGTAAGTAAGGGATTTAACACTCTTGATGGCTTCTAGACCTTGGTATATTTATAGATGAATACTTATTTCACTATGGTTTTAGATTTGATGCGAAGCTGAGAAGATATTGGTTTTACTATGATGTATTTTTTTTTGTCTGTGAAAAAAAAAATTTGACCTCTGAACTTATCTTCGTGGTGAAAACAGACATCAATGTTAAAGAAAAACGTACGATTTCCGTAA